TGTAGAAGAAGCCTTTGAATGTAAGTTCTAGTCTCCCCTGCCTAGGAGAGGGGAGCCAATTTTATTAGCAGTTAATACAGGAACTGAGATGGGGCAATTGAGTGGTTGATTCTGCGGCAAAGGAAAAAGCAGGATTTTCTTTGCTTTTGCAAACCTGGAAGAAGTTAACTGCAAAAAAATCCTCTGGAGTGTTTGCTTCACTTTCAGTGCTGGACGAACTCTGCTTCCCAGAGTAACCAGACACTTCCCTGTGCACAGAGCAGCCCCCCTCCTGTGCACACACCGCTCACCCCTGATTGATGTGCACCTGTCCTTGCAGGGACCAAACTCATTCCTGGGCACAAACACAGCCACAGGAGCAAGGCTTTTCCACAGAGCTTTGGTGTCTGATGAGGATGGAGCAAATGCTGAGCAAGGCAACTTCAGTTTCTGTTGTGCTGAGAACAAATATCTCTTCCTATACGGCTAAATCGGTGAGTTTCTTCATTCTGCAACAAACACCAATTACATGGTGCACATTTGGCACAGAAATGCACAAAATTCACAGTCGTTCTGAAACTTTAAAATTAAACTTGTAACCTGTAAAAGGGTTGATATTATTTAGCATAAGAAGATGAAGTGATATCAGATCATTGCCTTTGAAGGGCAAGTTCCTTGTCGCCCCTTAAAGCATGCTGGAAGAGCAGCCTGGCCTGGAGGTGTTCTGATAGGGCAGCCCGGAGCAGTAGGTAGGGATTTCTCAGCTGATTATAATGCCTTTGATCAGACCTCAGTGATTTGTCAGTAAAATGTCAAACACCAAAAAAAAATGAAGACAGTCCCACCACGAATCTCTTGTCAGAGCTGGCAATGATGGTACAGGCAGTCACAAGATGTTCACATTAACTGTAAGGCAGAGAGGAGACATCTGTCACATAAAGTGCTTCGTGGCTCTAAATTTGGATGGCAAATAGAGCCAGATTTTGGTGGAAATGCAGATGCCATCTCGGACACTGTTCACAGGACTCTCCTTCCAGGGACTTTTCCTTATCCCATCTGTGGGGCTGACTGAATATTTCTGTTATCTAGATTTTTTTCTTCCAGGGGAACTGCTGGACTCAGAGGAGGATTTTCCCTTTCAGCCTGGTCTGAGCTGAAACCTTCCTTTTCTGATTGCCATTTGATCCAGCTGCACTGTATCTTTTGAGATGTCTTTTGCAAGACAATGAGGACAGTTCACCATATTTCCTGCTACAGTAACATCTGTTTTGTCACATGTCACAGTGTGGATCACTATCTGGTCCTGAGGCACCCAGTGACATCTTTGAGGCTGTTAGACAGAGATGGGTCATGATCCACCTCCCCATATGCACAATGACTACCCTGACCAGTCCTTTCCAAGCCAAAC